AGGAGGTAGATTACTACTAATATATTAAAACGGAGCACAAATTACATTTAATCAGAGTTTTGGCAGTTTTGTTTTTGATAGCTGGGGTCATTGCTTTTAATTAGACTATTTGAAATAACAAAGAAAATCATAAAATCGGGAACAATTAAAAAACAATTATGCATGTGAAATACCCCAAATATAAATATAGAGAATTTTGCACTGAAAACTTAAAAGAAGATACATTTTCTCCTGATTTTGAAAACTGCTTACTTTTCTTAACTCTTACTGGAAAAGAACACAAACCTACATGAGACCATCCTTGATATTTGAACATTCCTGAGGTTGTTTACTAGAAACCATTGGGTTAGCAGCTAGTGCACTGGATGGAGTCTCAAATATTCCTCTCTGTAAGCTTGAAGTAGTTACTAACTGATTTGTAGTATGTGCTTTAACTGTGAAGTGGAGAAAGTATCATTGACCTTTGTCCCATATGACATATTGCAGGTATGATGAGCAAATATATGCAAAGCTTGGTACAGCTTTGAAGAACAACGGCTCCATATATTTGTGTTTGCCTGAGACAAGCACAGCTTACACCTGTTGTTAGGTGTTATTAATAGCACCCTCTTTAACCCTCAGATGTCCTAGTTTGCTTGATAAGTTATATGGTCAGCCTGTATGTCTAAAACCTATTCAAAAGATTGCCTGGTTGCATCCCTCTAGTCCTGAGTCTCCCACCAAAACTGTTGCATTTCTTAAATACATTTCAGCAAATTTCTTAAATACATTTCAGTAAATTTCTTCAATTTTATGTAAATGTCATGTCTCTAACCCCATTGATCTGTGGATAAAAATTGTTTCTTTTTTTCTCTGCTCTGAATAATTAACTTGATTCAGTGCTTTTAGCATTGGGTCCTGTAATGCTCATTTCAGTGAGGGAGAAGACAGAGGAATTGTAGGGGAAATGGCTTTGTAGAAGAAATGAAAGCTTCTTCTCTTTATCTCAGGATATTACTACTTGATTTTTGGAATCCAGACTCCTTTTGATGTTGTTAAGTGTAATGTGAATCTCCAGATAATGAGGAAGATTGCTCCAGGGAGATCAAAATTCAGGTGTGTTGCTCTCATAACTATTTTAGAATGAAGGTCAGAATAACTCTCCATGCCTCAAAGCACCTTTTTCCCTCTTTGTTTTTTTTTAAGAAATATTTCTTTTTATTATTATTTTTATTTGAAAGGCAGAGCTACAGAGAGAAGAAAGGATAGAGTAGAGACAGAGAGAGAGGGATCACTCTGCAGAGGCCTGCCACAGCTGGGTTGATGCCAGACTAAAGCCAGGAGCAGACCTTCTACGTGGGTGGCAGGGACACAAGCACTTGGTGCTTTTCCCAGGCAACTGGCAGGGAGCTGGATTAGACGTGGAGTAGCCAGGACTCAATTTGGTGCCCATATGTGATGTCAGCATTACAAGCAGGGACTTTACCTGCTAGACACAATGCTGGCCACGAGAGAGCTCTTTTCTCCAGTTGTTCCCTTTCTGAGTATCTGTAACAGAGTTCAGTCTGAATCTTCCGTATGGGTGGTAAGGATGCAAGTACCGGCGCTTCACCTGCTGCCTCTTAGGGAGTGCATTAGCAGAAAGGTGGAAACTGAATTGGAGTCAGCACCATGGTATCACACAGATGCCATAGGTATTCCAAGTGTTGTCTTAACCAAATGCCTGCCCCTGCCTCAGAACCTTGTAGAATAAGTTAAAGATCAAATACGTAAGATCAAATATGTAAAAATAGTGTTATAATTTCAACAAGATATTTATGGTGAATTTTTCAAGTTTAGGAGGCAAGATCTTCTGTGGTAAAAAGAACTGTGTGGTCTTAGGGTTAATGTTACCCTGTTGAAACATCCCCCTGAGGAGGTCACCTCCCACAAGAGCAAGGTGAAGAAAGACAAATTAGCTTGCTGAATTGTCTAGTAAAGCTCTCTGGCAGGAGCTTGGTAGCAGTGTAATCACATACTAACTTGAAGATGAGGACTGAAACTTCAACAACTAGATACAGATAGAGCATCCATTTTCTGTTCTTGTGGTACTATTGATCCCTCCCTTTAGCTCTTTGAGTTTTTCCCCCTTTTTCCTAATTATGCTTTTTTCCCCAAGCTTGTTCTCTTCTTCCTTCCATCCTAAAACCTTTGCTTTTGGTCATCAACCTGTTCCCCTTCCCCACCTGCTCTCCCCGTTAAACACTGCTTTACCCCCGCTGGTTGTCAGTTCTTTCTACTTGGAGGTCCTGTCTTCCTCAAGTGTCACAGATGTGCCAGCTTACTTGTCAGAAGCGCCCATGAGAGGCAACTTGGCAAGCTCCCTCCTGACACCAGGAAAAGATGTTCACTGCAAAGTATCACACTGTAATGTGGAGAAGGACAAAAGAAAACATCACAGTTGAGTGCAGTACCTTTATATCGCATTCAAGTACTTTAATGATTGGAAGCAGAAATGAAAACCTGACCGAGCCAATGTCATGCTAAGCAACAGCGTGTTGATCAGAACTGTCTTTGTCCTTTGTTTAGTTCATGCATTTATTTAGTCGTTCAGTAGCCGCCAGTCTGTCTGTTAGTTTTCAGTAGTGTTTTAGTGGTCTGAGCTTTTACTGATAGAACTCTCTGAGGTTTATGAACCTCCTCTAGGAAAAGGTCACTAATGATGTAACTCCTTTGCATTTCCAAATACAGTGTACATTGAATGTTTAAAGAAGGCATGTGTATGCGTGTTTTTGCCATGGGTATATACATAATGTATTATTTCATAAAGACTAAACATAGTCTTCCCTTTCAGCAAGCTGGGAATGAAATGTAGCAATTTAAATGTCTGATTAGAATTTTTGAAATGGCATCTTGTTAGTGGAAAAGTAGAAACTCAAAGACTCAGCAAGATGGGGTCATAACCACCTGCTTGTGTTCTGGGGTCTTTAAGATCCTTCCCAAATACAGTAATTAAAGTGAAAACATCATCAGTGCATTTTTCAGCCTGTCTAGGCAAACTTACCTAATTCGTACAAATGAGAATGAAGACTTAGCTAAATATGTTAGAAGCTTCAGCAGTAAGAATACACAAAAGAAATAGTGTCCTGGGCAAGTGCAGCACAGTACAGACCCCTGTCTTCACAGAGTCCCCTGTCTTTTAGAAGTGGATTAGATCTGTCCAGACAAAGGCAGCATTGTGAGATCGCTGTGATAAGGACTGAACAGTAAGCTTTATCTGTGGGACCTCCTAGAAATTTTGTGTTTTGATGGTTTACGTAATTGAGAAGGATGCATGCCCATGTGGACCACCGATTAGGGTGAGAAGGATCAAGGAATAGGGGAAAGTGGATGAGGTCATTGTTTCTAATTTTCTTCTTCCTCTGTTGGGGAAGAGGAAAGAGAAGTGGAAAAGCTGCACGTAGCACCCTAACTGCATCAGTACCTGGGAATGGGGAATAGCCACCTGAGTCATCTCATGGTCCGCGATGTGGAGCTTGCTCCGAGGGTTCTGTTCAAGTAGTTTCGATAGTTCTGAAACACTGTTGATTTCATTGCTCCAAGGATGAGAAATTCCTTCCAAGGTCCATTGGCTGACGTAGTCCAACTTTTTAGAGTCTCCATTCACCCAGATACTTGCTGTCGATGTTTGGCTGAGGTAGTTATCCAGTTTGTTCTGCCCTCTATCTTCTGCTATGGTGCTGGATGTTGTCTGCAGACCTCAGTGGACTGCTGTATCTTCCATGTGCCTTTGGGCATGCCATTCACTGCCCAGTCTTAGTTACAGAGAAGGCCCAATTCTGATACATGCACTCCGTGGTCAGTCCACATATCCTGTGATTTTTTCCCCATGGTTGGAGTTCTGAGTCCAGTGATTCTATTTGGAGGGGTGGGGGAGGGGGGGATCGTCCCCAAAGACACCTCCTCTGAGATGATTCCAGACTTGACTCTTGTGTGTGCTTGCCATTATAGGGTCTGGCTCTGTCAGTCACCCACAATGGCCTATGCACACAGGGGTGGTTGCCGTTACTAGGTAAGTTCTGTCTCCATCCCCAGCTCTGCTGCATGCCAATGAATGCTGCGGCCCAGGCCAACCTTTTCCATCACAGACCTGACTCTCACATACACTAATGAGAGCTGCAGCCTAGTTGCAGCTCCTCCTAATTACTCCCACCAAACCTGGTTCCTGTGCATGCTCGTATGTGCAACAGACTGGTCCAGTAAGTCTCACATGCCATTCAGCTCTCATATACATCCATGGGCATTGGAGCCTAACTCAACCCGATCAACGCCATTATCCAGCCTACACTCAGGCCAGTGGATGCCACCACCAGGCCCACCCTCAGCTCTGGTTCTTCTACTCACCAGTGGGAGTTGCAGCCCATCAGAGAGGTGCCCATAGTTGCCCTACTGAGCTTCCTAGAGGTTTTGTAGTGAAGAATTTGATTCAGACTTGCGATGTGTATGTTGTTGCTTTACCCTGAGCAGCACTGACTTGTCTTGCCTTTCTACTTCCTAATGCTGTTTAGATATAAATTAACTCTTCAGAAGTATGTGGAATGTTTGAATTATGGCAACAGTAGCCTACTTCATTCATCATTGTTCTCTTCCTTTACCAGTTCATTTTTCAACAGGTGGTGTACTGCTTAACACTTTACAGCATGTTTCAAGTTCCAAACTGGAAAATTCTGATTTATAAGGATTTAGGTGTAATGGGATTAGCAGTGTAAAGGCTGTGATTATGTTTTCATCAACAACATCAGTTTTTGATATAAGTGGAGTCTTCCTAGCTTTTTTGCAGTCCTTATTTCCTGGTAGCTAAGGAGCGTGTGTGTCTCTTACCGGTGTGGGTCTTTGCTTCTGAAGGTAACATGAGTACTCTCTCAGGGGTTCATTTCTCTCAGATTGGAAGATCACAGTGTGTCTGAGTAGAGTGCAATCATAATAGTCTCTTTTTTATTCCTAATAACCAGAATCCCCCCCTCCCCTTTATTCTTTTAAAGTTGAAGAGGCAGTGTGGACCAGTGAAAACAGCCCTTGCCAAGGTGTCTGAAGATCTGAGATCAGGAGCTGGTGTGGCGCTTTCTTACTCTGTGAGTCATATCCCGTGTCTGAGTCAGGCTTTGCATATTCATTTGCCATTTATTGACTGTCGTGTGTCATATTCTGCAGATACAATGGAGAATAAATCTGTCATAGTCCCTGCTTTCTTAGTGCTTATGTGACATCAATGATGATGACTGAGAAGGGTGTCATGCTACTGGAGGTGGAGGGAAATTTTGGGATATGGGCATGCTTTGATGTTCAGAGTTAATAGGATTGGTGATGGTTTGGATCTGAAATATATCAAGACTGACCTGTGGGTTTTACTCAAGCAACATGATGAATGCTGAGGGTAAGATGTGTGTGGGGATATTGCTTTTCCAATTAAGTGATGCTTTAGACGCCTCTGAGCTTCCGAGTAGAGATGATTAGGAAGTAGTTGGATAATTTTTAAAATGAGTTTATTTTTATTGGCAATACAGATTTACAGAGAGAAGGAGAGTTAGAAAAGCCTTTCATCTTTTGGTTCACTTTCCAAATGGTGCAGTGGCCAGAGCTGAACAATCTTAAGCCAGGAACCCCCTCAGTGTCTCTCAGGCAGGGACAAGATTCCAAGGCTCTGGATAATCCTCTGCTGCTTTATTAGGCCACAAACAGGGGGCTGGACCGGAAGTGGAACAACTGGGACACAAATCGGCAGCCAGCCATATAGGATGCTGGCGCTTGCAGGCAGAGGTTTAGCCAGTTGAACCATTACACTGGCCCAGTAGTTGGGCATTTGAGACTGGAGTTAGAAATTCTCAACATGGTATTTAAACCATGCAATTAGTGTGATTGCTTTAGCGTCTGAGTCCTTGAGCCAGTAATATTTGGTGATGAGGAATAAAAAGGAGACTCAGCCTCTGAGAATGGGATGTTGGAACTTGACCTCTGCATTTCATGTTGTTCAAAGGCTTGTATAAGAATACACATGAGCACACATTGGATGTTATTTAGTGCTTAATTGCATGAATGAGTGGAAGCATATGGAGGATTATTTAGAGTGGTTATCTTTCAGCTTGATTTTCGTTCCATAAAATTGTTTTATGGGACTGGTTGAGATGTGTGCCAATCTGTATGTAGTTGAGGTTTCCAATGTGTAGGATGTGCTTTTTTGGGGGGAATATTTTGGAAATTTTATATGTGGCCTACCACATATGTTGTGCTTTCAGTGTGGTTAATTGTGTGTTTTAGTCCAAGTAAATATGAAGTAGAAGGATCCATGCGCATTATTCCTGTTAATGGAGTTCTCATACCCAAAGGGGTTAACCCTGATATTTGAAATCTGTCAGGATAGATACTCATACTTTCTTAAAAGCACATATGTGTTCAATTTTAATTGGTTACAGTTGGCATGGTTTCTTTTTGTGAACAGATGTCTGCTTGAGTTACCATATCTTACTGCGCTGTTCAAACATGCTTTCTTGCTCTCTGCCTGTTCTATTCTCTATCATCACCCTGCAATGGGATTGGGGGTGAGGGGCGGTTTCCTGAAAAGTAGGCTCTATTCTGGTAAGACTCTGTGGCTAGCTGCCAGTGTGTCATATAACAAAACCAGTCACACGGTGGAAAGAGAAAACTTGCAGTGAGATTGAGGGTGAAAGCAGAAAAATTAAGTGGGTCAAAGGGGGAAAATTTAAAAAGGCCATAGCCGGTAAAGGCAGAGGATCATTTGGAAGGAAGTTGGGGAGAGGGCGTCCACTCTTCTTAGATGATATTACACATTTTCTCTCTCTCTCCGCCTCTCTCGCACTCTCTCTGTTATTTAATTTCTGACCACCTGCTGATATAAAAATGGCAAGGATTTCTCTTATGCGTTTGGATTATTGGGTATTTAGTAAATATAACTTTTCTCCAGTTTACTTTCCAGAGCACCTGTTTTGAGCTAACATGGCAAAGATACCCATTGCTGTCCCCTCCATGGGAACTTTTGAGTTTGATCTATTATACTTTATGAAATCCTAGATTTTATTCCCACACTTGTGTTTATACTGTGTGTGTGTGAGAGAGAGACAGAGAGACAGAGAAAATGAATATGAATATAAGTGAATGAATATGATTTGGGGAGAGTGTGATATATTAAGTCATGATCTAGGAAAGAAAGCCTTCTGAGATTGATACTGTTAGATAAATCTCCAAAAGTTGAGAGATCAAAGACAGCATAGGGATCATCTTATTTAGACTTCAGTTGTATTATCTCATTTTAAAAGTCCCTTGGGACAGGTGTTCGGCCTGGCAATTAAGACACTATTTGAAAACAACAAGTTCCATATTGAAGTACTGGTTTAATACCACCTCTGGTCTGTGGCTCCAGCTTGCCACAAATGCAAATCCTGGGACACGGCAGAAATGGCTAATTGGGTTCCTCTGCCAGCATTGGCGATTAGCATTGAGTTCTCAGTTCTCGAATTTGACTATGACCCAGCCTTAGACTTTGTGGGCATTTGGGGAATGAATCAGTGGGTATGAATGTTTGTTCTACCCAGATCTCCCCACCTCTCTAATAAGTAAAAAAGAAATCCCTTGAGCAATTCTTCAGAAGTTGGGAACTTACTACACTTATTAATATGTTAATATGCTGTTAAAATGTATTTATTTTTGTTCTCTAATTTCTATCCCTGTGAACACCCATTTTTCTTCTCCCGCCTTTTTAAAGGGATATGCATATGCACATTAGTGCATATAAGCACAGGGTTCCACAAAACTGGTTTGGGATGTTAATGTAGTCCAATTCTGAAATACAAGTTGAACTTGACATTTCTTTTGGTAATGTCCTCCTTTGTAATATAATGGATTGAATAAGCCATTCTTGGCTGTGATATTTTTTATTCTGATTTATTAATTTAAAAAGCATGTGTCTGTCATAAAAAACCTTGTCTTGCCACAGTCATAAAAAACAAGACTGTGGCACCTGGGCAATGCGAGGCCCGCCATAGTGCTTCAGCGCATCTTATTGAACAAACAACGCCTCACAAATTGGGAACACTGGGCTTGGTGCTATGGCTCAATGGCTGAATGCTCACCTTGCAAGTGCTGGGATCTCATATGGGCACTGGTTTGTGTCCCAGCTGCTCTGCTTTTCATCCAGGTCCCTTCTTACGGCCTGGGAAGGCGGTCGAGGATGGCCCAAAGTTTTGGAACTCTGCCACCTGTGTGTGAGACCAGGAGATGCTCCTGGCTCCTGACTCCAGGCTCCTGGCTTTGGATCCACTCAACTCTGGCTATTGCAGCCACTTGGCGAGTGACTCAGCTCATGGAGGATCTTTCTCTCTGTCTCATTCGCTCTGTAAATCTGATCTGCCTTTCTAATAAAAACAAAATAATTTTTTTTTTTTAATTGGCAGCACTGTGATAGCTATACTTAAGTCTGTACAGGAGAAATCTTGGTTTTACCTTCAGGGAACTTGTATTCAAGTCAGTGACTTTACCTATTGCATCGGATGTGCTATAGAGAAAATCCAGATTAGATTTTGATTGATAACCAGTAGGATTTATTGGATGTGATGTCTGATCCCGAGTTAAATTTGTAGATTTGAATACAAGGCATAGCAGGAGATACATTTTAGATTTACAATCACAACCACCACAAAAAAGTCCTTTTTTATCTCTGGCAAAGATTTTATGTTATCAACATGAAGTAAAACTGTTCCCATTTTACAGATAAAGGAACAGAGGCTCAGAGATTTAGGGACGTGTCTGAGTTGACAAGCCCCTTGAGCGAAAAAGCTGAAATTAGGACCTAGAATATGAATCTAACTCTTGAAGGCAGGTAAAGATGCTTCCAATGCCAGCAGCTCACATGGGCACCAATTTGCATCCTGGCGGCTGCACTTCTGATTCAGCTCCCTGAGATGCGCCTGGCAAATGAAATAGAAGAGAGCTGAATTTGGTCCCTGCCACCCACTGGGAGACCCAAATGAACAATTTCCTAGACCATAAATATGTGGAGAAATTGGACTCCTGTTCCTTGCTGGTGTTGCTGGTGGATATAGGCACACCTTTATGGAATTACATAATTGTAGATAAGAGAATATTTTTTTTTTTTACTAATAAATAGTTGGCACTCTGAGAAGATTGCAGTGTCACAAGCAGTAGCTTAACCAACTGTACCACAGTCCTGTCCAGAGAATGCTATTAGAACTGTCAGTAAGATTTGATTCACAGCTTACCATCGATTCTTCTGTAACAAAACCCAACATCTGAGCCGTCCCTATCATGAACTTTGAGTTGACCTGCCATGTTAAACTTCATCATTCCAGGGCTAGGCACATTGAAAGGTCTCAGGGTATGATGTTCTGTTAGGAAGAAGAGAAAGTTCAGTCCTGGCGGTGTAGCCTAGCGGCTAAAATCCTCACCCTGAGATCCTACATGGGTACTGGTTCTAGTCCCAGCAGCTCCACTTCCCATCCAGCTGCCTGCTTGAGGCCTGGGAAAGCAGTCGAGGACGGCCCAAAGCCGTGGGACCCTGCACCCGTGTGGGAGACCTGGAGGAGGTTTCTGGCTCCTGGCTTTGGATCAGCGCAGCACCAGCCGTTGCGGTCACTTGGGGAATGAATCATCGGACAGAAGATCTTCCTCTCTGTCTCTCCTCCTTTATGTATGTCTGACTGTCCAATAAAAATAAATAAGTTTAAAAAAAGAAAACAAAAGTTCATGGAGATGCTAGCGTTGTGGCATAGCCCTTAAAGCTGCCACCTGCAACCATGTAGGTGCTAGTTTGTATCCCAGCAGTTTCACTTTCAGTCCAATTCCCTAATAATGGCCTAGGAAAGTAGCAGAAGATGATCCAAGTGTTTGGGGGCCCTGTCTCTCTTGTGGGAGACAGAGAACGAAGCTCTTGGTTCCTGCTTCAGCCTGGCCTAGCCCTGGCTAACATGGCCATTTAGGGAGAGAACCAGTGCAGGGCAGATATCTCTCTGCCTCCCTCCCTCCTCTGGCCTTCCTTCCTCCCTTCCTCCTCACTTCTTTTCTGTAACTGACATTCAAGATAAATAAATGGTCTTTTTTTTTT